AACTTAGGAGGGAAGAAACGGGAAGAACTGGGAAATTACCGGAGAGAGAGACTAGCAAACAGCCTAGGGAAAAGCCGGACGAAAAGGGTGCCGGAAGAAGCTATTGAAAGCCTAGGCATAGACTCAGATACGGACTACGGGGGGAAGCTGGGAGAAATCTCTAAGGTCGAAAGCGAAAGTGAAAGCTAGAACAAACAGACTCGGACGCGGACTGTGGGGAGAGGCCAGGAGAAATGAGGGAGGAGTATTGTTGGAGGAAAGCTTGGGGAAACATACCGGGTAGAGAAAAATGTTAGGGAAATTGAAGCCGTGGGGGGCAGGCCAAGGCGGACACGAAAGCCACTTTGGGATTCTCAAGTTAGCCCGGGAATAGGGGGCGAAAAGTTGAAACCAGAAGCTGAAACGTGAGCCTGGTTGGGATCCGTCTGATTAGCCCGGGGAGCAAAGGACGGGAAGCCAAACCGTGGGGCGGAGACGTACGCTAGGTTGAATTCGCCAGGCTAGCCCGGGAAACTTAGATTGAATGCTAATGGCGGAGACGCAAGCTACGCTGTGTTACTCGCGGAAGCCGCCGCGTGCAGAGAGAGCACGGGGCGTGAATAGATAGGGAACGGGGCTGGCGTAGGCCGTGGTTCAGACGCGAAAGGGTTAAGCGTGGAGACCGCGGAGCGCGCGAAGCCGAGCCGCGCAAAGCCGGGAAGCTGCGCAGATGAGAGAGGCGCGCGGGCTGAAGCGGCGCAGAGCCGGGAACCCGCCGGCGGGGCGAGGTGCCGGAAAGCCGCAGGGATAAGAGAAACAGAAGTTTAGAAGTAAAGTGAGAAAAATAGGAATGCTGGAAGATAGAAGTAAAATGGGAGAAATAGGAATGCCCGGAGATAGAGAAATAGAGAAATAAAAAGGCCTCCCTACAACACTGCAATGTGAGAGCTTGGATTCGGTCTGCCTAATCAAGTGAGGCGATGAGCACCTGCGGCGGCTAGCAGCTTATGCGCCGCAGGTCACCGAAGACAGGCACGAATTAACATCAGTAAGGCTTCCCCACAATACAATATTAAGCTTGGATTCGGTCTGCCTGATTTAAGGCGGTAAGCGCCAGCAAGCAGCTCGACCAGAGTATGAGCTGCAGGTCACCGAAGATAGGCACAAACCAACACTAATAAGTCTCCCCCACAATACGGCAATGAGAAGGCTTGGATTCGGTTTGCCTGATAGGTTTTGTAAACACCTGCAGGCAGTTCTAGCAGAGCAGAGCATGCGCTGCAGGGCACCGAACACAGGCACGCATCAGCGCCTAAAAACCTCCTCACAATGGCGAAGAGAGGACCCGGATTCGGTTTGCCTGATAGGACTTGTAAGAGCCTGTGGCAACTCTAGCAAGTAGAGCAGAGTGTGTGCCGCGGGACACCGAAGACAGGCGCGTATCAACGCTAAAAAATAAAAAGAAAGGGGGATCTGTGGGGAGCAATCCGGACTAGACTAAGTTACTCGAATTAGGACTTATTCTATGCATCTGCTCTCCCACAATATGGCGCTGGGAGAGAAGTAAACAGCTTCCGCACAGCTGCCTCCAGTTCAACTAATAAACTGTAGGACTTGCTCCTGATTGGAGAGCGGCGTACTCGGCGTGTGGGCAGCCGAGTTGGGATTGGCGGAGGAGGACTATAAAGGAGGAGAGAGACGGCATGCACCAGGAACATCTATGGGGAACATCTAGCTGAAGGAACACCTGTGCAGCCCCCGAGTAGAGCCGGCTGGCGGTGTGCCGCTCCCCTGCGGAAGTGGGGAATGCGGCCAGGGGGAACTGCCCTTCCACGGAGGTGGAAGGGATAGTAGCCAACCCGGGAAGAACCAGCAGCAAACCCGGGGAGGGCCGAGCAGACGAAAGAACAGCGCAGGGTCCTGTGTCGTTCCTCCACGAAGAGGGGGAGCGACATAATGGTGCCGTGACTCGGATATGAAGCCTAGGCAGGGCTTAGTGTCGTTCCTCCACGAAGAGGGGGAGCGACAGGAAGCACCTGGCTCCTGGCTTCAGATTGGCGCAGCGCCAGCTGTAGCGGCCATTTGTGGGTGAGCCAACAGAAGGAAGACCTTTCTGTCTCTCTCTCTCTCTCTCTCTCTCTCACTGTCTAACTGTCTAACTCTGCCTGTCAAAAAAAAAAAGAAAAAGAAAAAGAAAAAAGAAAAAGAATCATCCTGTCAAAACCAACAGCAAAGGAACCTTGCCAAAAAGAGTCAGGTAGGATGGATGTTAAGAGGCTAAGGTGGGGACCGGCACTGTGGCACAGTGGGTTAACGCCCTGGCCTGAGGGGCAGACATCCCATGTGGGCACTGGTTCTAGTCCCAGCTGCTCCTCTTCCAACCCAGCTCTCTGCTGTGGCCTGGGAAAACAGTAGAAGATGGCCCAAGTCCTTGGGCCCCTGCACCCACGTGGGAGAACTGGAAGAGACTCCTGGCTCCCGGCTTCGGATCATTGTGGCCAATTGGGGAGCGAACCAACGGATGGAAGACCTCTCTCTCTCGCTCTCTGTGTAACTCTGACTTTCAAATAAATAAATAAATCTTTAAAAAAAAAGAGGCCAAGGTGGCTTATCATGAAAACCCTGCTCAGTGCCAGGGGCAAGTCCACACTGATTAGTGGAAACAAACGCAAACGTAGATTCTCTGTCAGAACATATTTTTAATTAAGACACACCAAAAGGAAGGGCAGCAACAGAAGTGGAAGAGTAAGCGCTGAGTCAGCAATCAGTAACAACAACGACGGCTACTTTGATTGGATGACCTAAGGAGCCAATATAGAGACTCCCTTAGGTTCAAATATACTGAATTAATAGCTCTGGGACCTTACCCAGTGTCTTAACCTATCTAAATCTCATTTTGCACCCTTGGAAATAATGATAGAACATGCCTCACAGCAGATTGCACAGGTACAGGAGATAACTTACATAAAATACCTAGGCTAGTTCTTGCCATGTAGTGCTTGGTGGCTATTACTATTCTATTATTTTCTGAAAGCTAAAAAAAATTACATTCAGGTTCAAGTGCAGCCTGAGAGACAAATTCATGGATTTCCTTTCTTTTTTATCTTATAATAAATCCTTATGTTCCTTTCCCTTCACTTTGAAAGAGAGTAACATAGTGGTCTTAAAATGAAAAGACAAAGCTTCACTCTGAAAATAAAGAAGAGGAGGGCACACATCGATAATACAAATACATTTTTGAAAGATTAAATTGTGGAGGATAAAGTCATAATTACTAACTGAAATTAGAACATGTTGGATTTTGTCGCTATCCTTTGAAGCTGCCATCAAGGACAATAACTGCAGCTTTCTGCATACCCTTGGGTTTCTCTGCCAGTGACAATATTGGGTTTAATGAGCCATGGTTCTGATGAGAGATGACAATTTTTGTTCTTACGTACTTAAGCACTTAATCATCACATCTCAAAATACTAAAACCCCTTGAAGCTTGAAAGAGATTTGGGACTCATAAATTACAGTTATTATAATGTGTTCTGGTTGTATTACGCTGTAGAGTTTGCAGACAATTTCAAATGTGTTTCATTTGATCCTCATAATGATTCTGGGAGGTAGGCAGCTAGTAGGGTAGGTGGGTAGGTTAGAAAATGGAGTCCTGGCGATTAAAAGACTGATTTGAGCTCATATAGCTATTGAGTAGTAGGAGTGAATTCCAGTTCAGGTCTTGTGAGCTTCAGTCCCATGCTACTTGTACCGAACCATGAATGGCAAACTTTTCAAGTTGACATCCCCAGAGACAGAACAGGCTGAACTTAAGTTCTGAGAAAGAGGCAAGCAAGAAATAAAATAATGTTGCACAAAAAGTGGCATCCCCTATGCCCATGGCATCAGTTGCCAAAGAACTACAGAACATCTTAGCATCACCCTGGATCTGGTTTCAAAATCCTCAACATAGTGCTCTGTGGAGCTACCACCAAAAGATCAGAGTAGACCCAAGATTTTAAATCTATTTGCATGAAGCAAAGGTTCGCTGGGACTTAGGGAAGCTGAAGGGGTCTGAAGTGGAGCCTGCTAATGCTTAACAATATCCATGCCAATCTCTTCCTCCTATGTACATTTCCCAGCATCCCTTGCAGTTCCATGAGGAGCCAGGTGCCTCCTCCTGGTCTCCCAGGCAGGTGCAGGCTCGCACTTGGGCCATCCTCCACTGCCCTCCGAGGCCACAGCAGAGAGCTGGACTGGAAGAGGAGCAACCAGGACAGAATCTGGCGCCCCAACCGGGACTAGAACCCGGGGTGCCGGCGCCACAGGCAGAGGATTATCCAGGTGAGCTGCGGCGCCGGCCCAGAACCCTAAATCTTAAACAAGTGAGGCAACACAGCAAGGACACTTGAGAAATCAACCTCAAGCCACAACACTCAGTCCAATGTGGCTGGATCCCTGCAGCTTGCATTGCTTTGGTTCCTAACCCTTATGACACTTTATTCTTAAGTTTGATCTTCTTACTCAATTACTCAAGGATAGTATCTGTCTAAACATTTATGTATCACAACAACTAGAATACTTGGCATCTAATAGATTCCCCATAAGTCCATGTTGACTGACTGAATGTCTTTATGTCTGGAAGGATCTTGATAAGCAGTACAAGAACTATTCTAAAATAATAAAGATTGGCCAGGAATAGGTGTCTGGTCTAGTGGCTTGGATAATCACATTCTACACTGGAGTACCTGGCTTTGGCTCCTGACTCTAGCTTCCTGCTAATGTGCACCCTGGGAGGCAGCAGTGATGGTTTAAGTAACTGGGTTCCTGCTGCTCATGTGAATTCCAACGTTGACCCTGGCCAAGCCCCAGCTGCTTTGGACATCTGAGGAGTGGACTAGTAGATGGGTTCTCTCTCTCTCTCTCTCTCTCTCTCTTTGTATGTGTGTGTGTCTGTCTCTCTGCCTCATAAATTTAAAAATATTTGTCCAACATTCCAGCCCAAAGGTACCCAAAAATGGTTTAAAAAATGGAGACGTTAATTATCTTGAAATAATTTTTAATATTTTAAAATTTAGATGAGTGCACACAATACATGTTTAGCAGAAGAATGAAAATATGCATATGGTGTTTAATAAAATTTACATTACAAAACACGACCATGTTAGGAAAACCTCAAAAGTACAAGTAAACATTTAGGTAAAAACTAAATAAACAACATGCTAAGGGATATGATTAAAAAGTGCTAACAAATGTAGTTGCCTAAATCCAGACTTGAGACACTGAGATTGACTTTGCCACTTAAAAAGAGAAGAAAAAAAAAAAGCAGAATGCCCTTCATTTTAAATACATTTTGAAAATGTCTGCACACTGTTTCCCTGCAGGCAACAGCAGCATAATCAAGTATATAAAGGAGTATCAGCTGGATTCCAATCTGATAATAAAAAAGCACACCATGTGTTAAGTATACAGTTCATCTCAGAAAGCAACCAATCACACTACATATGTATTACCTTCCTATTGGCAGCCCCTCCCTGCCACCCACAGCCCAAGGTAAGCATGGTTCAAAATTACTTCAGCTCAAGAGAAAATGACAATACAAGTCTTTAGCACCTTATGGTTTCTAAGCATAGGACTAAATATGGGTAAGATCTATGACGTGCTCATCAATAAAACTCCACTTCCACACAGCTGTTTACATGGACAAAATGGCTGACTTCTGCACTGACCATTGTGAAAAACATTCAGAATTTCCTAAAATTTTGACATGTCGTCCAAAATGTGAAGATTGGAGCTAATTCATTCACACAATTGTTTCCTAAAACTTCGTAAAGTAATGAAAAAATACTCCAATGGTTGAGGTTGTGCTGAGGGAAAGGAGGCTGGGAGCGCCTTATTTCTTATCCATTCTCCCCTACCCAATCACTAAGGTTCAATGAGTTCTTAGTGGAAAAAAAAATCAATCAAAAATATATTTTATATAAATAAAACATTTTCTAGATTGACTACCTACCTCCAAACTGTAGGACTTCTCTCAAGACTCCAAAAGGAGTATGGACTTCCAGGATAACTAGGTTTCTCTAAAATCCCAATGACCACTAGTGCTCAGCCTTGCAAAGTTTGATTTAATGCTCAGGCATAATGGCAATGACAATGATTGGAGAAGAGCATCTTGGTCCTAACATGGTAAGGATTTAATTAGCAGAAAAGGTATTTGCTGGTTAAGTTATATGGCTAAAAAAAAAAAATCCAAATTTTCAGATGTGAACTTTTATGGAGGATGGGTTCTTATTTTATTGTTAACTTCCCTTCATTTTCTTACAAGTAAACCAGTTCAAATCAGTCCTGCCTTACATAGATAACATAGAAATCTTAAATAAATCTTATCAATGGCCTGAGAAATTCAAGACATTAACTAAGAAATTTGTGCAAAAATTGTTTCAGAGAGCAAGTTAATTTGCAAGAAGAAACCAATTTGTAGAAGTTTAGAAGGAAATTGTTTCTATTTTCACTAAACAAACAAGGGAGGTTTTATCTAGAATCTGTATATAGCATTAAAATGTACTTAATAAATTTAAATTCTAAATAAATACTGACAATTGGTATCACAAAATATGATTTGATACATTTATGGAATTTCAGTACTTACTATGTAAGTTTTTATTACATATGAATAAAATGTAATTGTACATTTCAAATACAATTTTGTATACTTCATGTCATTTGTTTAGAACAATAGTTCCCTTGGTTACTCTCATAACTTTCAACCCTTCTTAAGAAGTTGTACCCAATTTAAAAATCATTAGATTTGAGAGTGACAAGGGAGAAAAACAACTCCTTATGGGTTGAAAGAATAAGCCGCTGGTTGAAGATGGCAGAATAGGGAAGGAGCACATGGATGGTCCGGGAAGGGAAGGTTCAAAGAGGGGTGAGAATTTGTAGTTTCAGGGAAAGGGAAGCTCTTCCGAAACTGGGGCGGCAGGGTGGACCTGTGAGGAGGACACAGACGCCTGAAGCGCAGGACACCAGCAGGAGTGTGTACGTACCAGCGCTGGAAGCCAAGGTGAGCCAGAGCACTCACCCAGCACCGTGGCAACAGCAGCTGCCACCCCTCCTCCAACCCACCCTGGGACGGACACTGAGACATGCACGACTGAGTGGGGGGAGGAAATAGAAAATGGAACAGAGTGAGTAGTGCCTGCGGAAAGAGTGCGCAATTCAGGGGGACTAATTGAAGGACTAAACAAGCTAGGAACCCTTGCTGCCTCTACTCTCCTCCAAATCGGAGCTGCAGTGGGTGGGAAGCAGCCATCTTGTTTGTTTACATTTGGGCTTAATTTGAAACCATGCCAGAAAAAGAATTCCGAAAATTAATGATCAGATTACTTAGAAATAATGAGAAACAGTGTCGAGAGCTGAACGAAAAACAAGCCCAAGGATTAGAGATCCTAAAGAGAAGCCAGAATGAAATACTGGAAATGAAAAACTCAATTGACCATATAAAAAACACTGTGGAATCCCTTGGAAATCGAATAGATGAAATAGAAGACCGAATATCAGAATTCGAAGACAAACTTCCAGAAATAATACAGTCAGTTCAAACACAGGAAGAAGAAATTAAAAAATTAAAAAATATGGTCAGAAACCTACAAGATTCAATCAAACGGTGTAATGTTCTGATAATAGGAGTCCCTGAGGGGGTGGGAAGAGAGATTGGATTGGAAGCTGTTTTCAATGAAATAGTATCAGAAAACTTCAAACAAAGGCAGCTGGATAACAACAGGCAAATTCAACAGATAGCCAGGACTCTGAACAGGGTAGACCGGAAGAGAAATTCACCACGACACATTGTGGCAACACTCAGCTCAGTGACACACAAAGAACAAATCTTAAAATGTGCCAGAGAAAAACGACAAATCACATACAGGGATAAGTTAATCAGACTCACCCCAGGCTTCTCACTGCAAACACTACAGGCAAGGAGACAATGGCATGATATATTTCAAGTTTTAAAAGACAAACAATGCCAACCTAGAATACTATACCCTGCAAAGCTATCAATTATGAATGAAGGGGAAATAAAGATCTTCCAAGACAAACAGAAACTGTAAGAATTTGTATCCACACGTCCAACCCTACAACACTTGCTCAAAGACGTGCTGCACACAGAAATACAAAAACAAGAACCTCACTACAAAAAAAAAAAAAAAAAAGCGAATGTAGAGTAACCTACAAACAAAGTTCAAAATACATAAACAGCTCGTTTAAGGAAACATGAATGGGAAAAGACAGTACTTAACACTAATCACACTGAATGTGAATGGTCTTAATTCTACTACCAAGAGACACAGACTAGCTGATTGGACCAAGAAAGAGAATCCATCTATATGTTGCCTTCAGGAGACACACCTTATCAGCAAAGATGCACGCAGACTGAAAGTGAAAGGATGGAAAAAGATACTCCAAGCTAACATAAATCAAAAAAGAGCTGGTGTGGCCATCCTAACATCCAATAAAATAGACTTTAACATAAAAACTGTTAAAAGAGACAGAGAAGGGCACTATATAATGATTAAAGGATCTATCCCAACAGGAAAACATTACTATTATAAATGTATACACACCTAATTACAGGGCGCCTGGCTACCTGAAAGAATTACTAAAGGATTTAAAGGGAGATATAGATTCAAATACAATAGTAACAGGGGACTTCAACACCCCACTCTCACCAATGGACAGATCAACCAGACAGAAATTCAACAAGGAAACAACTGAGCTAATTGACGCCATAGACCAAATAGACCTAATAGATATCTTCAGAACCTTCCACCCCACAGCCACAAAGTTCACGTATTTCTCCCCAGTACATGGAACATTCTCTAGGATTGACCATATGCTAGACCATAAGGGGAGTCTCAACAAATTCAAAAAAACTGAAACTATACCATGCAGCTTCTCAGACCATAGTGCAGTGAAACTCGAAATCAACAACCCAAGAATTTCTACACCATATGCAAACGTATGGAGAATGGACAACATGATCCTAAACGAACAGTGGGTCATCGAAGAAATTAAAAGAGAAATCAAAAGATTTCTAGAAACAAATGAAAATGATAACACAACCTATCAAAACCTGTGGGAAACAGCAAAAGCAGTGCTAAGAGGAAAGTTTATAGCAATTGGTGCCTACATCAAGAAGCTGGAAAGGAACCAAACAAATGAACTCTCCATGCACCTCAAGGATTTAGAAAAACAGCAGCAAATCAAGCCCAAATCTAAAAGGAGGAAAGAAATACTAAAGATCAGAGAAGAAATAAACAGAATTGAAACCAAAAAAACAATACAAAAGATCAACAAAACTAGGAGCTGGTTCTTTGAAAAAATAAACAAAATTGACACACCATTGGCCCAACTAACCAAAAAAGGAGAGAGAAGACCCAAATCTGTAAAATCAAAGATAGTAATGGAAATGTAACAACAGACACAACAGAAATAAAAAAAAAAAATCATCAGAAACCACTACAAAGAGATGTATGCTAACAAATTGGGGAACCTGGAAGAAATGGATAGATTCTTGGACACATACAACCTTCCTAAACTGAGCCATGAAGATATAGAAAAATCTAAACAGACCCATAACCATGGAAGAAATTGAATCAGTAATAAACGCACTACTGAAAAAGAAGAGCCCAGGACCGGATGACTTCACTGCCGAATTTTACCAGACATTTAGAGAACAACTAACCCCAGTTCTTCTCAAATTATTCAAAACGATTGAAAGGGAGGGAATCCTCCCAAATTCTTGCTATGAAGCCAATATCACCTTAATTCCTAAGCCCGGAAAAGACACAACAGAAAAAGAAAACTACAGACCTATCTCCCTGATGAACATAGATGCAAAAATACTCAACAAAATTCTGGCAAACCAAATCCAACTGCACATCAGAAAGATCATTCACCTGGACCAAGTGGGATTTATCCCTGGTATGCAGGGATGGTTCAATATTTGAAAGTCAATCAATGTAATACATCACATTAATAAATTGAGAAACAAAAATCATATGATTATCTCAATAGATGCAGAGAAAGCATTTGAAAAAATACAACACCCTTTCATGATGAAAACCCTAAGCAAGTTGGGGTTAGAAGGAACATTCCTCAACACAATTAAGGCAGTCTATGATAAACCAACGGCCAGCAACATATTGAATGGGGAAAAGTTGGAGGCATTTCCATTGAAAACTGGCACCAAACAGGGATGCCCATTCTCACCACTGCTATTCAATATAGTCCTAGAAGTGTTAGCCAGGGCCATCAGGCAAGAAAAAGAAATTAAAGGGATACAAATAGGAAAGGAGGAAGTTAAACTATCCCTATTTGCAGATGACATGATACTATATATATGGGACCTGATAAACTCCTATAAGAGACTATTGGAACTCATAGAAGAGTTTGGTAAAGTAGCAGGATACAAAGTCAACGCTCAGAAATCAACAGCCTTTGTATACACAGATAATGCCAGGGCCGAGGAAGAACTTCTAAGATCAATCCCATTCACAATAGCCACAAAAACAATAAAGTACCTTGCAATAAATTTAACCAAGGATGTCAAAGACCTCTATGATGAAAATTACAAAACACTAAAGAAAGAAATAGAAGACGACACAAAAAAATGGAAAAACCTGCCATGCTCATGGATTGGAAGAATCAATATCATCAAAATGTCCATTCTCCCAAAAGCAATTTACAAGTTCAATGCAATACCAATCAAAATACCAAAGTCATTCTTCAAAGACCTAGAAAAAATGATGCTGAAATTCATATGGAGAAACAGGAGACCCAGAATAGCTAAGGCAATCCTTTACAATAAAAAAAAAAAAAAAAAAGGCTGGAGGCATCACAATTCCAGACTTCAAGACATACTACAGGGCAGTTATAATCAAACAGCCTGGTATTGGTACAAAAACAGATGGATAGACCAATGGAACAGAATAGAAACACCGGAGATCAATCCAAATATCTATAACCAACTCATATTCGACAAAGGACCTAAAACCAACCCCTAGAACAAGGACAGCCTCTTCAACAAATGGTGCTGGGAAAACTGGATGTCCACATTTCACAGTATGAAGCAAGACCCCTACCTTATACCTTATACAAAAATCCACTCAACATGGATCAAAGAACTAGAGATGCGCCACGACACCATGAAACTAATTGAGAGCATAGGGGAAACCCTTCAAGGTATTGGAACAGGTGAAGAATTCCTGGAGAAGACCCCAGAGGCACGGGTAATCAAAGATAAGATAAACAAATGGGATTACCTCAAATTGAAGAGTTTCCTTACAGCAAAGGAAACAGTCAGGAAAGTGAAGAGGCAACCAACAGAATGGGAGATGTTATTTGCAAACTACACAACAGATAAAGGATTAACAACTAGAATCTATAAAATGATCAAAAAACACCATAGAATCAAAACAAACAACCCAATAAAAAATGGACCAAGGACCTTAACAGACATTTTTCAAAAGAGGAAATCCAAATGGCAAAAGACACATGAAAAAATGCTCAGGATCCCTAGCCATCAGGGAAATGCAGATCAAAACCACAATGAGGTTTCACTTCACTCCAGTTAGATTGGCTTACATACAGAAATCAACCAACAACAGATGCTGGCGAGGATGCGGGGAAAAAGGGTCACTAATCCACTGTTGGTGGGGATGCAAACTGGTAAAGCCACTATGGAAGACAGTCTGGAGAATCCTCAGAAACCTGAATATAGCACTACCACAGGACCCAGCCATCCCACTCCTTGAAATATACCCAAATGGAATTAAAGGGGAGAAAAAAAGAGCGATTTGCACCTCAATATTTGTTGCAGCTCAATTCACAATAGCTAAAACATGGAATCAACCTAAATGTCCATCAACAGATGACTGGATAAAGAAACTATGGGATATGTACTCTATGGAACACTATACAGCAGTAAAAAACAATGAAATCCGGGCATTTACAACAAAATGGAAGAAGCTGGAAAACATCATGCTGAGTGAAATAAGCCAGTCCAAAAGGGACAAATATCATATGTCCTCCCTGATTGATGGCAACTAAATGAGCATCTAAAATGATACCCATTGAAGTGAAATGGACACTATGAGAGACAATGACATGATCAGCCCTTGTCTAGACTGTTGAGGAACAACTTACTATTTTATTCCTTTTAGTATTTTTGTTGTTGTTGTTGCTCTGTTTGTTCTACATAAGACCACTGGTTGAACTCTGTAATCAATGCACAATCATTCTTAGGTGTTTAAAATTAACAGAAAAGTGATCTCTGTTAAACATAGGAGTGGGAATAAGAGAGGGAGGAGATATATAGGTCAGCACATGCTCACTCAGACTTACCTCCAATGATGGAACTAGAAATGTGCCAGGGGATTTCAGCTCAATCTTACCAAGGAGGCAGGTACCAATGCCAGTGCACTTGGTAAAGTGATAAGTATAAATACACAACCGATCAAAAAGATAGGGTAAGTGTCGAAGAGATTTCACAAATAAGACCAGTGTAAGCAAACAATGAAGGACAGAATTAAAAGGGAGAGAATGATCCTGTGGGGGAAGCAGGACACACAGCAGACTCATAGAATGGCGAAGGCCCAAAACAGCACTCTTGCCTCAGAATCAACCCTTGGGACATTCGGATCTGGCTAAAAGGTCCATGAGAGTCTCACAGGCATGGGAAGCCATGACACGGTGGCAAAAAGCAATCTAAATGAAAGATCCAGGTGAACAAGACCCCAGCAGAAGAAACAGGCCATCAAGGAGGGAGGCGCCTTTCTCTGAAGGGAGGAAGGAACCTCCACTGTGATATGGCCTTGACTAAACAAGTTCAGAGTTGGTGAACTCAAGGGGCTTCCATAGCCTGGACAGCTCATGGCAGGAGTCTCGGGTGATTGCTGATGTCATAAATAAAAGTGCCAATTGTTAAATCAACAACGGGAGTCACTGGGTACAGGCTCCCCATGTAGGATCTCTGTCCTTAATGTGTTTTACTATGAAACTTAAAGACAACACTACTAGTCGAACAATGCCCTATATCTTGTGCGGTTGTGTACGTGCAGCCTATTGAAATCCTTGCTTAGTGTCTACTAAGTTGATCTTCTGTATATGAAGGTAATTGAAAATGAAACTCGACGAAGGGTGGGATGGGAGAGGGAGTGGGAGAGCGGAGGGCCGAGGGAGGGAGGGAGGTTGTGGGGGGGAGCCACAACAATACAAAAGTTGCACTTTGTAAATTCACATTTATTAAATAAAAAAAAAAGAAAAAAAAGAAAGAATGGGCCAAATATAAATGCTTAAGAAAACATTTAGAAGTCTTATATAAGTAATATAATTAATTACAAATTGCTGTCATTAAAAAAAATCTCTGTTTTGAACTTGAAAATGATGCACAGATCGGGTCTATGTGATGTGCACATCTTCTGTAATGCTAATATGACTGGATAACACAGATCAGGCTAACACTGTACCATGGATGGTACTGAGAATGTGCCGCATCTATAATGCCATCCATGTAAAGCAACTGGGTACCAAAATGTTGAATTTCCAACCTCTTATCCAATGCCAGATCCACTTTAGTTAGTAGGAGTCGAAGCAACTACCTTCCCTGTGGCTTCCTCACTGAAGAGCAACTTTCGAAGTATATTTGCATAAAATGGTCCATACACTTGCTTGTTGAGATTCACAATGCTTGCATATTGAGAGCCCAGTGCTTCTAGTTCCTGCTGAATGACAGCAAGGCCTCCTGGCACCGGGGGCATACATTTTTGAGGGCTTGGAAGACAAAGTAGACTTTTCATGTATAGTTGGACTCGTTTATCTGTAGGGGGAAAAAAAGATGTTTTTATCTGTCCCATTATTAAAGTACATAATTCTTAAAACAAGAACAAAAAATTATAATAGGTTGATTGCAATAATGTTCTCAATTCTTTACCATTTCCTACACTCAAACTTTTTACAAAGCGGTGTGCTGTTCCTCCCATCAAGGGATGGAGTGTTTTTCTCCATGCCTTGAATCTGGCGGACCTTATGACTTGCTTTGTCCGAGAGAGAATGAAGCAGAAATGCCAGCATGTCCTGCCATGCCCGTGCTCAGGAGGCACGATTCACAGTCGACGCTCTGCCAACCAACACCAAGCGAACAAGCCTTGACTTGCTAGAGTGTGAGAGACCAAGGGGAAGGAAACCGAGATGTTCCAAGTGAGGCAGCCTAGACCAGCCTCTCACCAATCAGTTCTCAGACATCTGAAAAAGAGCTGCTTACCTGAGCCACAGCTGACCAACCACAGATTCATGAGTGAGTCCAGCAAGACCCAAAACTACCCAACTCCTCACAGACTTGTGGGAATACAAAATGTTCATATTTTTAAGCAATGGAGTTTTGGGGTAGCCTGAACTGTATAGCCCTTGTAGAGAGGAATCTGACAAAAGTCAATCCCTAATGTCCATGATTATAATTATGTACACTAAGGCTGAGTTTGAAAACTTGCACTGCTTGTTTGGCCCATGTCATGTTTGTTGTTTGGACTGCTTTAAAAGAAGCCACTCAAAAGCAGGAAGTTTCACATAGAAATCCGAATTTCTGATTCTTCTTGAAACATCTACAGATCCGGCAAATTTAGGCACTTTTATTACTACATGGTCATGGTGACTATACATCTAAGTTTTCCCGGACAGTCAAAGTTTATACATGTCGTCCTGACATAATTAAAAAGAGTCCTCCAAGGGGTTCTGTTTTGGACAACAGATTATATGGTCACCACACGTGGCCAACCTCAACTTCAATCAAGAGACACTGAGGAAGGCCGCCCCAACATACACTCTAGTTTCCCACCTTCCCCACCCTTCTCACTTCACTGCTTCAATGCACCTGAATCTGAGGCTACTGCTGCACAAAAGCACTCAAGTGTGCATAAAAATTAGGCTGCAGATGGACTGGACAAATCAGTCCTGCTGCCTCCAGGCTTTCTCTGCTCGGGCTGCCTCCAGCTTTCTCTGCCTTTGGAAGCAGAAAATTCACAAATAAGAACATTTGCAAAATGCACTCCATCAAAGTTGAACATCTATGACATTAAATGAAGCTCTGATCTTCAAACATTTCTCTCCAAAATCACACAATCCAGCCAGATCTGACCTGGAACTTAGTTTCCAATGTCCCATATACATGGTTTAGAATTGGTTCCTCTTGGGACCTGCATTGTGGTGCAGGGAGGTAAGCTGCCACCTGCAGTGCTGGCATCCCATATCAGAGCTCTGGTTCAAGTCCTGGCTATTCCACTTCCAGTATAGTTCTCTGCCAATGCACCTGGGAAGGCGGTGGAGGGTGGTCCAAGTACTTGGGCCCCTGCCACCCACATAGAAGACCTGAATGGAACTCCAGGCTCCTGCCTTCAACCTGGATCAGTTCCAGCCATTGTGGCCATTTGGGGAGTGAACCACAAGACAGAAGATTTCTTTCTTTCACTCTCTCTCTCTCCCTCTCTGTCTTTTCCCATTCCTCTCTATCACTCTGCATTTGAAATAAATAAAATAAATCTTTCAAAAATTGTTTCCTCTTGCTAGAATGCCCTTCCATCTCATTTCATCTCTGCCCTGAGTCAGAAGCTTCCTTCAATGCCAAGCCTAAAGTTACCTCCTTCCTGTGGCTTCCCAAAGACCTACTCTTAAACTATCACAGCCTATTTTTGCCAGTTGAGAATGTGTCTCTCACCTCTGCTACCAGTGGGCCCTTTGAGGGTGAGGGCTTTGTCTTTGGTATCTTTATATTCCTGGTCTGACATATAGCAGGCACAATGTAAGTGCTGATTGAACTGATGTGAGAATGGAATGAAAAAAGTCTATAATCACCAAACTGAAAACAATGAGACCTGGGAAAGAGTGCAGAGTGGAGAAGGCAGCAAAGATGATCTCAGCCTCATCTGAATTTCAACAAGGAGAAGTCATTCGTGTATCACCTGTAAAACTGAAAATCACTTTCAACAAACATCTACGTTTGAATGCTGTGTGTATACAAATAGTCTACACAGCAGGTGGTCCATACTACCTAAATAATTTTTCCTGTTTTTTGTTATACATTTTAAGAAAAAAAAAAACTGGTTTTAAAGAAAGCTGCCTTTAGAAGTATCTTTTTAAATGGCTAAAAACACAATGAGAGGGGCTGGCACTGTGGCGCAGTGGGTTAAAGCCCTGGTCTGTAGCACCAGCATCCCATATGGGTGCCAGTTTGAGACCTGGCTGCTCCACTTCAAATCCAGCTCTCTACTATGGCCTGGGAAAGCAGTAGAAGATGGCCCAAGGACTTGGGCCCCGGCACCCACATGGGAGACCCAGAAGTGGCTCGTAGCTCCTGTCTTCAGATCAGCATAGCTCCAGCCATTGCGGCCAATTGGAGAATGAACCAGCAGATGGAATACCTCTCTCTATCTCTGCCTCTCCTCTCTCTGTGTAACTCTGACTTTCAAATATATAAATAAATCTTTAAAACACACACACACACACACACACACACATACACAATGAGAACTGTTATCCCTTTGGGTAAATAAACAGCACACCAGCTAAGAACACAGAAATCAGACTATGGGTACATGGAACAGGAAGGAGAACCATAGTTAACATGGGCCAAGCCCTTATATCCCAGGGATCTTTCCCAAGTGCTTAATCAATTCTAACTACTTAATAGGCAGAAAACTAAGAATTAACTAAATACCAAATTTCCCTTTCGACTGAATATAGACTGTCAGGTCTAACTTCATCACAGATATAACCAGTTTCCCACAAGGTGAATGGCAAAATGAAATCCTTTCAAAACTGCTAGTATACAGACGAGTGGTTCTGTCTCCTCTGCATGTTTTAGGCCAAGACTAAAGCGACAGGGGCATTTGTCCAGATCAGACAGAGTCCCTACCAAAGGTGTGTCTTTGGCTTCCAAAGCTGAATGAGAGACGCTGAAGTAAGTTGCTGGAGTTGCTAGGACAACAATATTTTCAATGAGATTTGAAAAAAAAAAGTTTTCAATTTGCAGAAGTTCGGGAAAGTAAGGCTGAGAAGAGCTGGGTGGACAAAAGTTGCTTTAACGGATCGTCAGAGGCCAATGGGGTGGGGCACTTCCTGTCCCTGTCCGTTCTGACATTGCCAAGTGCTTCCTTTCTCTTAAGCAAATGCCCAGAGCACACTCTGACATTCTGGCCACCCGCCAACAAGCTGCAGGGCTCCCACTGACTCCCATGAGTCAGAGCGGTTAGGAATGTAAGCTCTGGAGTCAGGCTAGGGAAGAACCCAAAGCTGCCCTCAGCTAATTAAGTGACCTTCAGTGAGAGTTACTGAACCTCTTCATGGCCCCCAGGCATTCACCCATAACATTGTCAGCACTGCATGGAGACACAGCAGTTGAGCCAACATGAGGCTGTCCTCTGAGGCCTGCACACTAGTGGACATCCAGCAGTCCACGGCAGGGTCTGCTATGCAGTGTTTCAGTCCCCCAGCCACTCCTTAGCCTCCTAGGAACACCATCTCCCAGGCACCACTGGTTCAGCTGGAGACCACCTGCTGTGAGGGCAGGTCCGTGTCAGCATATGAGCCCATACAGGGTAAGGGCCCAGTCCCAGCTGGCTGTGGTTGTGCTGTTTGTTGCCCTTATCAACTGTCCCCTCTGAATGGCAGCCTCTCCTGCTGCCCACGGTGCTGTGCATCAGCCATGCTCTTTTCTGGAGGCGGGGAGCTGAAGCCTTGTAGCCACACAAACGGGCTGTGGACCTGCACTCCAAGCCCCAGGGATAATGACAAGGCAAACCATTTGAGAGCCACAAACAAATAGAATGTATTTGTATTTTTGCAGCAATGTTGCACTTTGGTATATTCTAATTCTACTCTCCTTCTAGGCTTGGTTCTCAGCCTCTGTAGTAGACACTTGCGTTTTGCCACACACTAGCCTGTGCCCCTTTCTACGGCCACAATGCCCTGATTTTCTTCCAGGGGAACCATCACCTCCCTCCTCTCACCACGTGTCACACGTAAAGAAGGTTGTCCCCTGGCTCACATGTCTCGGGCTTAAGTTCCTTCCCTCTGGCCACAGTGATGATTCAAGAAAGAATACAGACAGCCAGGCTAATGAGCCTCAATACTGGGGCCGCTGTTGAGTTAACAGGGAGGCAGCTTCCCCGTACTTTGCTTCATTTAACCTTGGAAAGACATGGGCTGGAGCCGCAGCCATCCTGCTGTCACAGGAACAGTCTGTGACCACGGCCAGCCCAGAGGAAGGCTGTGCTGAGACATGGAGACGGGAAAACCACGGACACAACTTGAGCTCCCACTGGGCGGAACCAGCAGTCAGGCCTGCTCCTGGTCGTCTCAGTGACGTGAGAAAAGAAATGCTCATTTTGCCTATAGTTGAGAGGTTTAGAGTTTTTGTCACAAGTAACAGAAAAAGCCCTAACTGAGAGCAATTCTCCATTTTTCCAACTCACCAACACAGCATGATGCTGAGATAGCTCCTTTCAGGCCAACGTACAGGAAGAGCCTCCCCCCACTGACCTCCCGGTTCCAGGCCTTTTACTCTTCGTCTCTTTACGCCTGACCACGAAAGGGGCCTCAGTTCCCTCAGGATTACTTGAGAAGAGCCGCTCTCTACTTTCTGCATGCACACTGCCAGCAGGAGGAAGTGGTACAACTGATTTTAGGATTTTAACATTACTGCAGCACTGTGTCATTTTCTTCATAAAACCTATTGGCTGCATGGCTAGGACAGTAAGCCTGGGACCATCTCCTACCCCACTACACATAGACACAGAGGAAGCAGTTAGTCCCAGAGCTTTGCAAATGTTAACACTGCTTTACGTTTATCCTCTGAAAGCAATCCATGTGTTTCAGACTAAAATTTGACTGGCACTAGTCAAAACCAGCCAGCTAAAGTGAATTGGAATTGAAGCAGAAACCAACAAATAAATGAAGACTCACCAATCAAGGTCCAAATAGGATTATCCTCCTCTTCGATGCTTGAAAACTGACCCACGAGATTAGCTTGAACCTCAGCATTTAAAGTGGGTAAGCCTCTCTCCGTCAGGCTCTTGTTGACTTCAACGCAAGTCTGAACACCAACTGAATTCAAGACTTCTTTTAAGTTAGATGTCCTATAACACATAAAAATAAAATCCCACCAGGGAAAGTATATTTTAATTAACTTGTTTCAGATGCCCATCAATTTTCCCTTATGCTGACAACAATTACCTCCATTAGAATGAATTTAGGAAATAGTCACTCCTCCCAGTCCCCAGCCTTCAAATGGAGCAGATTTTTAAATATTCAAAACCACTCATTGTTTAAGTACTGTTTAAACAGGAAGGCAGAATCAGAAAAATGTATTTTTTGAAAAAATAAGTCTACAACCCAATGTACATGCAGGGCTATCAGAAGGGAATGGAAAACATCAATTTACTTCTTAATATAAATACTTTGGTCTGAGTGGTTTCACTCATTTTTTTTTTAATGTGCTTGGAAAATGGGGCAGAATCAATTCATTTATCTGTGCTTGAGAAGTAAATCTATAACACCAATCAAAACAACAGAATGTTCAGAGGTTAAATTATCTAAAACTCCTGACTGATCATAACCAAAGATAGTAAGTGCCATCTTCTAACTAATTTCAAATAATTGATTAATAATCCTAAATATATAGCAATGAAGAAACTGTGAAAAGTAACAAAGAAGTGGGTTATACAAATGATAAGGAAAAAGTGGTAATGAGGAAATTTTCTGGATCTACTTTATTAGGGAATGATAATTAAAAACTGCATCTCCCTAGCCAGAAAAGGTATGTAAGGTAACTCTGTGAAAATGGGAATGAAAGGATGGGAGAAGGGCCCAAGGATAGAAGGCAGTATAATGAGTGAGTGAGAGTAGAAATCACGGAGTATGTGGACCTGGGTTCAAGGTCCTCTCCCGTGGACCTTGTTATATGCCTGTGTTAGCTCTTAGCAGACTGACAGGCATGTAGTCAATGCTTAATGAGAAGAAGAAAAAACAAAATGCTTTTTATTATCGTCATCATTAACAACAATGAAAAAAATCTTGGTTTCTGCCTCGTCTGGAATTTGTTACGCACCTACACTGTACCTACCTTTGGGGTTCCAGAATCCAAGAGTAGATTGTATGAGACAAAACCTTTTACTTCCTGACTTTTTCTCCACTACAAGACACTGCCTTAACTTTCTCCTGCTTTTAACTAGTGAGTTCTTAGGATAAGGAAAAAATTAATTTTAATACCATGGTTTTCTAGTCACAATAGAAAAAGCAAGCTTTTTGCTAGTTTTCAAGATGCATTATCCAATCAAATATAAATGAGAGGCAGGCTGACTGATTATTAGGGATGGTCTGCTTTTTTACATTATGGATGCTTACCCCATCCATAATGAGGGCAACTGGGAATTGACTGTGTCTATTTCCTAACACAGGGAAAAAAAATTAACAGAACAAATACAGAGCCAGATAAACCACCAGAAAAAGCTAAATGGAGGGTGATTTAACAACAGAACAGTTATTAATAGCTAATATTCATCAGGCACATACGATATGCCAGACACCTGTAGTAAGTGCTTCACATGAACCATCTTAAATTCTTACAACTCCAAGGTCAGTACAGTTACAATTGCTTTTTACAGGCGAGGAAGTGATCCTCAGCACGATTCAAGAACATATTCAAGCATCTATAACAAGCAAATAGCAGAGCTTGGATTTAATCCTGGTCTGCCTGACCCAAACTAGTAACCACCTTCTATTTGCTTTACATGAATACCTAAGCAGCACAGGGTGCTGACTACAGGCTTAATAAATAAAAATTTCTGGACAGTAATGGTTACCTAGTGTGGAGAAATGCTAAGATAAGACCAACTGCAAAACAAGAGATTTATTTTTGTTAAAGAACTTGAGTCCTGGACTATGCAATAAAGAAGCCTGGCTGGTTGGCACCAGCATCAGCAGAAAGGGCAGGGCCTTGAAAGAGTCAGACCAGGACTCAGGCCTTTTCTGGTGGTGCAGCCCAAGGCACCTTCTGTTCTTTACTCGAGCATCAGCTAAAAATGAGAAGTTTGGATTCTGTAACCACTCGGGTTCCATTTGGCTCTTAATGTTCTAGGATTTTATCAAAAATGTATATGCCGTCTGAGTAATGGGTCGGAGAATGGGAAGACACGTACATCCCCTTTCAATAGCAGGAAAAAGAGGACTTGTACCCCTCAAACACTGGAAAGGAGGTCTAGCAGGAGGAGCTGGCCCACATAAGACCTATGGAGACGTCTGGCCATTGACCGAGACTAGGGCCATTTTCTGGCTTAGGATTTCCAACAGGATGACCTAAATGCAAAAATCTAAACTGGACTCTAACAGTCAATAACGGTTTGATACAGAAGATGAATTTATCCAAAACAAAACCTCCACTGGACTTGTATCACATCTCTGAAGGACAGAACTGTCATCACCTTCAAAGACTCCATGGAAGGGCGGGTTGGGGAAGTCAGCAAACATTTCACTGCAGAGAAGTGACAGAGTCCTAAGAATCCAGCCTGGAAAACACTTTTTGATAGGGCCATTCGAAACACTGAAGGGGGTGGATTTCTGTTGGTTGGTTGTTCTTCCCACAGTGCTGTCAAAGAAAAGCTCCCGGACACACCCATCCCAAGTGGATATACTACACTCCTCCTGGCACTGGTTACGGAAAACAGCTCTCCCTTCCTACGAGAGGACATCTAAGCTTTCAGAGATATTAAAAGAAAATCTAGAAAAAGGAGGTGTAAGATAGATAAGCTTCTCTAAAGTTCGGTCCTGAACATCACACCCAGATGCCCAAGGTCGTTCTCGTTCTCTGAAACACACGCAGAGCCGTAATATGGAAGGGAGCACATACAAACATTTGGAACTTACTCTTTGTTCATGCCTTCAAGAAGAACAGCTGAAATCCTTTTTAACCTGTTTGCAAGCTCAGGCAGGCCTTCTGTAATAGCACCCACCATGTTGTTGGTAATTAGGGACAGGCAGGCAATAATTTTCAATTGATTCAGCTTTTCTGTCAGTTCCTGAAGACGTGTTCCATCTGTCATGAGTGTCTAGCATATTTATTTAAAACGTAAAAATAGAAAGGGAAGCTCAATACCATGAAAATGTAAAATAAGCAATGTCATATCCAAACTCCCATTTTTATTGGTTTTTAGTAAAATCATTAAAACACATGTAACACAGGCAAGTCAGCTGAATTCAGAGTTAGAACTTAAATACTAGACAACCTGGGGACAGAAAAAAAAAAAAACAAAACTCACTCACCTCAGGTAATTCTTTTTTCTGATAATCCCACTGCAACAGCTTCAAGTAACTGTTATTTAGCACCAGTGTAGGACTCAGGCTTGGCTTGGAGCTATTTTCCACCCCAGGAGTTACAGCAGCGTCAGACAAAGAAAGTAATTCTTCATTGACGGATTCTTTTATCCATTCTGTGGTCTGATCAAGAGCACCTAAGAGGAAAAAAGGCCACATATTTGTCCTACAGCTGACTCCTCCCTTCACTTGTGTATTCCACCTGACAGATGCTGTTAGGAATGAAAATGCACAGCCAAGCCCCTCACGAGTTTGCGGTCACATGGAGAGACAGAGCTGTGAACTAACAATTAGAGTAGGACACAGCGAACGCTAAAAGGCTCAGTGGGAGTGCAGAGAGCAGAGGTTGTCCATGAAAGGCTCTGGGCGGAAGAGCTCTGTAAGTGGCACTTGAAGGCAGAAGGCGGATGGAGGAAAGAACGGGCATTCAGGAAGAGCAGCCTGTACAGAGACCTGGAAAACAACAAATGGCACATTCTGGATGCTACAAGAAACCTGTACTGCTGGTCCATGACAAACTAGGTGGAAGAGGGTGCCAGCAGATGGCACTAGATGAGTAGATGGAAGCAACTCACGGATGACCTTGACTTTGGACCACAGAATGTATTTAGACTAAAGGCATTGATTAGTAGACATTTTGGATCCCAGACCCCTCTGAGTGTGATTAGAGCCATTCCTTTCTCAAGATGCATGTCCATGCTCATATGTTTTTTCTCTCTTTTCAGATTCACAGACGCCAAGTTACAAACACCAAGTTATGGGAATGTGCAATCTTTGGATAGCTCTGTTTTGAACATGGAGCGTGATACAATCAGCTGAACATGTTAAAATTGCAGTCATTCAGACAAGAGAATGAAGGCACAAGGGCAGTGGAAGTGAGATAAAGGGGGGTGAAGACATTTATGGGGAACATGCACAGGTCTTGATGACCCTCCCAAATGTGGGAAGTAGGGAAAGAAGGATTCTAGTGTGACTCTCAAATGTTTTCCTTGGACAGCTGGATAAATGGTTGTGCCATTTACTGAGAAAGATACAGAATGCAGGTGAGAAGGGTCTTGAAATATATCTTCTACTTTATATGACTTTTCTAAGGCCACAACCAATTTTCTGGTTGTGAAATCAAACAAACATGCCTCAGTTTTTCCTTTATTTAAAAAAAATCTCTCTAATTAATGCCTGCCCTTCTGAATATATCCCTCTGAAACTCTTTCTGTTCCACCCTCTCCTGGATTCCTCTGGCTGTCCTTCTACATCTCATACCTAAGTCCTTCTTCAACTGCCTGTTCTTTAAGTGACTCTACCCAACTCTACCCGAAGACTCTACCCAACCCACTTTCATTATTCTTCAATCTCACTGGACCATCTTTCTCATTTCCATGGCTTCTATTTCCATCCAAAGGAAGTAGCCCTCATTCCTCTCCTAAGATGATGATATCCTCATCTGTAGAATGAGTGAGTAGGAGAAATCACTGGATGTGAAGTTGGGAAGAGACACCCAAGTAGCACAACATGACACGGTGCTTCCATTATCCAGGTTCGACAGGTCTATCAACACTCAAGACTATAGACAATTATGATTATCATTCTCAGTTTACTTGTTTTGTCACACATCAAATACATATTTGTATACAAATAATAATTTCATACAACAAAATACTTAGCTCTTAAGTGTCCAATTTGGTTAGTTTTAACCATTCCAAATAACTGTGCAACTAGCACTCAAAATAAAACACAGGCTATTTCCACCACCCCAGAAAGTTCCCTCATCCCCCTTCCAGTCATCTGCACCCCCGCTCAGCTACTTTTAATTTCTAACTTCATGAGTTACTTTTGTCTTCTATAGCTTCACATAAGTGGAACTAAAATAATGTTTATTTTTTTATTTTGACCATGTTGTTTTATGTATCATAAGGCTTTTAAAAATCTGTTTTTTTGAGGGGTGGTGCTGTGGCATAGTAAGTTAGGCATCCATCTGTGGTGCTGGCATCCCATATGGGCATCAGTTTGAGTTCCTGCCACTCCACTTTTTTTTTTTTTTTTTTACAGGCAGAGTTAGACAGTGAGAGAGAGAGAGGTCTTCCTTTTTCCATTGGTTCACTCCCCAAATGGCTGCTACGGCTGGTGCGCTGCACTGATCCGAAGCCAGCAGCCAGGTGCTTCCTCCTGGTCTCCCATGCAGGTGCAGGGCCCAAGGACTTGGGCCATCCTCCACTGCACTTCTGGGCCACAGCAGAGAGCTGGACTGGAAGAGGAGCAACCAGGACAGAATCTGGTGCCCCAACTGGGACTAGAACCCGGGGTGCCAGCACCACAGGAGGAGGATTAGCCAAGTGAGCCACGGCGCTGGCCCAGCCACTCCACTTCTGATCCAGCTCCCTGCTGATGGCCTAGAAAAGCAGTAGAAGATGGCCCAAGTGCTTGGGCCCCCGTACCCCTGTAGGAGATCTGGAAAAAGCTCCTGGCTCCTGGCTTCAGATCAGCTCAGCTCTGGCCATTGTGGCCATTTGGTGAGTGAACCAGCAGATGGAAGATTTCTCTCTCTCTGCCTCTCTCTGTCTGTAACTCTGCCTGTCAAGTAAATAAATAATTAAAAAAAATTTTTTTTGAAACAGACTGAGAGTCAAGACATTTTAAAAACAGCAGAGTTCTTGTGTACCCTTCACTCAGCTACCCCCAACAACAACACCTTATATAAGCACAGGACACTGTCAAAACCAGGAAACTGACATCAATACAACATCTTTAACTTAAATACAAATGTAACTAGGCCTTTGCTAATTTTATATACCTTTGTTATTTGTATATACAGTTCTATGACATTTTTACATATGTGGATTCATATAAACATTAGGATACTGAACTATTCCAACACCAATTATTAAAAAAAAAAAAAAAACCCTCCCTCATTACCCCTTAAAAGTCATATTTCACCCCAAACCTAATCTCTGGCAACTACTGATCACTATACCTACGTCACTTTAAGAATGTCGTATAAGCAGAATCTTATAATATGTAACTGTTATGGACTGAGTGTTTGTGTTGCCCTCCCTTCCAAAATCAGTGTATTGAAGCTGTAACTGCCACTGTGATGGTATTTGGAGACTGAGGCTTTGGGGAATGATTAGGGTTAATGAGGTCATGAGAGCAAGGTCCTCCGGATGACACTGGTGCCCTTATAGGGAGAGACACGGGGAGCTTGCTCTCTTTCTCTGTCTGCATGCACGCACTGGAAAAAGGACATGTCAGAAGTGAGAAGGAGGCTAGCTAAACACCAGGAGCCAAATCAGCCAGCACCTTGGTCCTCGACTTCCCAGTCTGCCGAACTGTGAATGGTAACTTTCTGGTGTTTAAGCCACTCAGTCTACAATACTCTGTTATGGCAACCAGAGTAGACCAATATCAGCTCCCATCCAGGTTGTATGTATTAATAGTTTGTTTCCTTTTTATTGCTGAGTAGTGTTCCATGGTTTGACAACATCACAGTTCTCTTACCCATTTATTTATCTGCTGAAAGACGTTTGAGCTGTTGGTAGTTTGTGGCCATATACGAGGCTGCTATGAGCATTCATGTATAGGCTTCTTTGAATGTAAGCTTCCATTTCCAGGGGATAATCACCCAGCATTGCAACTGCTTGGTTGTATGCAAAGTGCAGGTTGAACAAGAAACTGACCAACTATTTCCCAGAGAGAGTTTTAAGGTAATTTACTTAATTGTAAGTTATATGATTTAATTTTTAGTAATTCCTGGGCTTACTAGTTCACAAGGTCCCGACAGCAAATGCCTCCTAAGCCAGTGCTAACCATATCCAGCACACCATGGAAGTGCCCATCTCTCTTTTTTCTTTAAAGATTTATTTTATTTATTTGAAAGACAGAGTTACAGAGAGAGAGAGAGAGAGAGAGAGAGACAGGGAGAGAGAGAGAATCTTCCTTCTGCTGGTTCACTCCCCAAATGGCCACAACAGACAAGGCTGGGCCAGACAGAAGCCAGGAACCAGGAACTTCTTCCAGGTCTCCCACGCGGGTGTAGGCACCCAAGCACTTGGGTCATCTTCCCCTGCTTTCCCAGGCACAACAGTAGGGAGCTGGATCAGAAGTGGAACAGCTGGGACTTGAACTGACCCCCATAAGGGATGAAGCCTCACAGGCTGTGGCTTTACCTGCTATGCAACAGCGCCAGCCTTGGCAGTGCCCATTCTAAAATTGTCAGAGTACTTTACATTTATTCCTTTAATAGATTTGACAAGAGCACAATCTATAATGCAGAGAGGTTGATCAACAAGAGAGCTCATCTGCAACAGAGCTCAGGAAACAACACAGCGGGGTCGGTGCTATGGTACAGTGGGTTAAAGCCCTGGCCTGAAGTACCGGCATCCCATATGGGCGCCGGTTCTAGTCCTGGCCGCTCTTCTTCCAATCTAGCTCTCTGCTTTGGCCTGGGAAAGCAGTAGAAGATGGCCCAAGTCCTTGTGCCCCTGCACCCACGTGGGAGACCTGGAAGAAGCTCCTGGCTTTGGATCAGCACAGCTCCGGCCGTTGTGGCCATCTGGGGAGTGAACCAGCAGATAGAAGACTTCTCTCTCTGTCTTTACCTCTCTCTGTAATTCTATCTTTCAATTAAATAAATCTTTTTTTTTTTTAAAGAAAACAACACAGCATGGGAAGCAAATAGACTGTAAGTCTAATTTCCATTGTAGATGAATGAATTCCAATTAACCATAACCTAGCAGTGAAGAATTCAACATGGAACTAAGAACTTGTGCTAGGTTCTCCTCTGAAGGGTAAACGGCTGGGGAGGTGGCTGAGTGCATGGCCTCTGAGCCAGGCAGTCTCAACTTAAACCTGGCCTTTATTACCCCTTAGTTGTATGCTTTGGAACACTTACGTTACTTCACGTCTCCTTCAGTTTCCTCATCTAAAAAGTGGTGTTAATAATAGGCCCCTCCTGCAGTCGAGGATTTAGCAAAGACATGCAAAACTGTTTCTGGCACTTAGGAAATGGCAAGTGTTGGGAGCTCCTTAAACGCTCCACACAACCTTTGAAAGGTGTGTGTGTGTGTGTGTGTGTGTGTGCGCGCGCGCGTGGTGGGGCTAAGGGGGAATGTCTGTCGTCACTTGCAGTTATTTTGGTTTCTGA